AGCCTGCTTCTCCCTCTCCCACTCCCCCTGCTTGTGTTCCCTCTCTCGCTGTGTCGCTCTCTGTCAAATAAATAAATAAAACCTTAAAAAAAAAATTTTATTTGAGAGAGAGTGCACATGAGTGGCGGGGGGGAGGGCAAGAAGAGGGAGAAACAGACTCCCTACTGAGCAGGGAACTCAATGCAGGGCTCAATCCCAGGACCCCGGGATCGTGACCTGTATCCGAAGGCAGCTACTTAACCGACTGAGCCACCCAGGCGCCCCAGGAATCAATATTCTAACAAGCAGCCCAGATGACTGCTATGCAGGGGGCTTGAGAGCTACACCAGGGGTGAAGAATTGGATGAGGTGGCAAAGGGACAGTGGCAGGAAGGGAGGCTGGAGAGAGGCAGGCCTGGCTACCAGGCCAAAGACTTCTGGCCCTGATGGGCACTGCCATGTTTTCGGCAGAGAAGTGACAATACCTTGTTGTAAGATCACTGTGACCATGCGGAAATGGTGAATTTAGGGGACAAGACCAGTCAGGAAGTGGCTGCAGAGAGAGGGTGTGAGGAGGGAGAGGTGGATACACAGTTGGGAAGCCAAGGGTCAGGCTGGACAGAAGTGGGGAAGGGGGAAGAAGGGGATGGCTTCCAGAGGTGCCAAGAGGCAGGCTAATGCAGGGGGGGTTTGGCCACCAAGTCTGAGGCACCTGTGGGATGGTCCAGTGGAGGGATCAGGGGAACTAGACACAAAGACTGAGCGGTCAGCTCCAGGGTGGTAACTGAGCCAGCGGAGTGCTCAGGGATGGGTGTAGACTGAACCTTTAGGAGAAGGTAGAGGACAAGAGGCTGTGTGGAAGGCCAGAAGGAGACAAGAAGAATAGGAAAGCACTGTGCCTACTGGCATCAAATCAGGGGAAATTTGCTCCAAAAGCTCACTCAAAAATTGTGGCCTTTTTGAGCAAAGAGAACCAGAGGCCTGGGATCGAGCCCCACATTGGGCTCCCTGCTCAGCGGGAAGCCTGCTTCTCCCTCTCCCACTCCCCCTGCTTGTGTTCCCTCTCTGTCAAATAAATAAATAAAGTTAAAAAAAAAACAAAAACAAAACCAGAGGCCTGATGAGAACTTGAGAGAGAATAACTCTGCCTAATTCAGAGTAAAAGGATTCTTTTCCAGCGTCAACATCTATCAAACCCTCCACAACGGTAATTCTGTCCACTGACAGTAATAGCTCCTATGAATCTGTTAGTTTGGGATGAATTTCGCTGGTCCTCAGCTACACGGCCATTTGTATGTGGCTGTGGGTCAGTGGCCCCTGGAGGACCTCTGAAGCCCCTGGAGCTCCTTGGCTCATAGGCTGGAAACTGCTTCATGGTCTGATGATGGGAGCTTGGAAGCCCACTTCTCTGTAGAGGCCCGTGGTGGGGGGCGGTGCATCTGACCCTGGGGGTGGCTGTCTCCCTTCCTGCCCTCCTGTCAGTGAAGTTTGAGGACTTGGCCACTCCTAACCTCTCCTTTCTCTACCCAGGACACTAAAATGGCCACATACCAGGTGGTAGAGCTACGGATCTTGACTAACTGGGGCCATCCCGAGTATACCTGCATCTACCGCTTCCGGGTGCATGGGGAACCCACCCACTAGGCCTTTTCTGTACTGCAGCCAGCCAGCTGGGAGTCCAGCCTCTCTCAGCACGTGCCCCCTTCTCTGGGAGTGGGAGAGCAGCACCCTGCCACTTCCCCACATGCTTGACCAGCGCACGGACTTCCAGGAGCAAGAACCCCTGGCCTGATGGAGCTGAGAACATATAGGGCTTTCCTAGCAGCGGGACAGCTCAAGGTGGACAGCAAGCTCCAGTGTCCCTTTTCTTTGTCCTCCTTGTGCCAGGCATGGGGTGTCTACTTCACCCTCTTGGGATGGTGTATATATGTAGCATATTGTGGGGGATTGAAAGACAGGGAGAGAGGCAATGAGTGGACATGTTCCAGCAAAGGTGGGTGAAACCTGTCTGCCCCTTAAACAGGATGGGGGCTGGCACCCAGGGAGCTGCTGATGGTAGGTGTGTGAATGAAGCAGGTGCCAAAGCCGTGGGTGGGCTATAAGTGAGGGCCTGGGGCAAGTGAGCTGCCCTCATCCGCAGGCAGGGAAGTGAGGTCCTCTGGGAGGAAAGTGCTCGTGGTGCAGGTTGGGACTGAGCCCCAGTCAGGAAGCTCCTAGAAGAGCCCGGCTGCCCTGTACAAGAAGTCTAGTGCCATCAACCTAAGGGAGCTTGACCCATGAGGTCCCCCAAAGGCCTCGCTACACTGTATTTGGTCTGGGTCACAGTGGGCGGTTGGGCTTCCCATGCCCTCGAGGGTCTGACTCCTGTGAGCCTCTGAGGGGCCAGGAGGCCAACCTGTAGGATTCCCACTCTGCTGGGACTAGTTGCTTTCTCTCGCTCTCCTGATGCTGGGACCAGGGCCCACTCTGCTCCCCATTCCTGCTAGGGCCTACCTGTGCCCCAGAGCAAGCTTGTCACATTCCCCCAGGGTGAAGGGAGCCGAGACCAGTTTGAGGCCATAAGCAGCTGGGGTAAGCTTAAAAGGATGAGGAGCAGGGTATTCCCTAGGCTCTTGCGGTGGTCCAAAGAGTATGATGGTAACATTCAAGGTGTCATGGTGGGAAGAGGTCTGTCTACTGTGGGCCCCCATCCTAGTCAGGCCCCTGACTATAAGGGCCCTGATCCTCAGCTACCCCCTTGGGACTCTTTCAAGCTCTTGCTCAGATTGTTTCCTTTCTGGTTCATTTTCTATGGGGGGGTGGCATTCGGGGGTGGTGGGCAGCAGGGAGATAGGGCTTTTAGACCCAAGCAGGCCTGCTGTATTATGTATATATTTTTCAAGGTCTGATTTTTAACTGAAAAGCTTTGGGCTTGATTCCTAGCCCCGTTCTGTGGGGCACTGGCTGATTTCAGTTCCTTGTAACTCAGCTGCCGTGAGGGGCTGCTGTGGAGGCAGGTGCCCCAGGAGCAGGGCTGAGCCCCACATGGGCTCGTAGGAGAGGAAGCTGGAAGGAAGAGGAGGCCCAAGGCCACCTCTGGTCCTCTGGCAGTGGCCCCATCCCAGACAACCAGGTTTCGTTTTGCGCTCTCCTGTCACAAATGCTGCACTATTGGTTCTGAATTTTTTATCTCCAGATTCTAATTTATGCCTATGCAAAAAAAATAAATTATGCCCAGGATTCATGGCGTGTGTAGTTTTTTATCTGGCCCTGGCACAGGGACTCTGCTCTTGGGAAAACAAAAGAATGAACTCTGAACCAAAACAATGCCCCAAAGACTTACCCCTGAACTTCAGAAACCCAGGCTTCTCCACTAAAACCCAGCTGGGATGAAGAACGGGGCTTAAGGCTGGCCCTGCTCTGGGATTCTGGGCTCAGGGGAGAGAAAGGGAGATGAAGAAAGAAGGGAGGTGGCTTTATTAGCCCTCCTAGACATCCCAGTAGGAAGTGGGCAGCTTTGCCTGCCTCTCGGTGTCACTTGAGCAGAAGGTAGACGAATCTACCTGTTTCACTACTGACCACGTCTGCCTTCAGTGTGGGACTGGACTCCACAGTAGGAACTGGACATTTGTCCCTTGTTCCTGTGCTGGGATAGCACAAGGAGAAGGGTCCCCTGAAGAGCCAGAACCTGCCAGCTCAGAGGAACAGGTCCTGGCCCTTCCCTGCCAATATGTCCCCAGATTCAGTGCCTCCAATAAGCTGCTTGAAGGGCCAGGGGTGGTTCCACAAACACGCTTTCCAACATACTCTGCTCCTGACCATGGCACCTGACCCAGGGCTGGTCCCCACCATATCTAAGAAAACAGAGGCTGGGATGGGTCAGGAGGGGAGGGGTTAGGGATAAACTGCCACAGGAGAGGGTACCAGGTACAGTGTAAATCCAGCCCTGAGGCCTTGGGCCAGTTAACCACTCACCCCTCAATGCCAGGAAAGAGCTGGTCCTATGGCTCACCCCCAGTGACCACTCCCATTTTCCCTATTTCACTCAACACCTGCTCTGCATCTAGAACGTCTCTCAACAAAGGAGCTATCCCCCAGCTGCACCACTAAATGAGTGCCTGGAACTTACCACAGTCAGGGCTCAGTGCCCCTGGTTGTGCCCTCCAGGCCAGACATGTACCCTCTGCCCATCTACACATGTTCAAATCCTGACCCCTCAAGGCACAGCTCTCACCCCATTTTCTCCATGCCCCATGCCCCCAAACCTGTGTTTCCCCCTGCACCATGGCATAGTCCCATTCCCTTATTCTGGGCCAGGGAGGCCAATAAGCCAGAACAGGGGTCCTAACCGAACTAGACGCCACAAATGCTAGCTGTGCATACAGAAAGGTCAGGATCAGTCGTTCGAGATGATTAACAACTTTATTCTTTATCAGCTATAAAAGGGCTGGTGTTTTGTTCCAAAGTGAGAGTCGGTAGGGCTGAGACCCGTAGAGGACCTGTGGAGTCCCTGTTAATGACAGTAAAACACTGTATTCAGTCAGCCCCTGCTAGCAGGCGTGGGTCTGGTGACCACTGAGATCCAAACCAACCTCCTGCGCGTCTGAGGGCAGAGGCCAGGGTGGAGACCACAGCTTCCAAATGTAAAGAAAGTGGTTATGCTCTTAGTGGCAAAAGAGTTCAAACAAGGTCCCACCCTAGTGAAGTCCTGTGGAAACACGGGCTCCACAGCACCTGCCATGGGGACAGAGAGCAGAGGGGTGCTCAATGCTGCAGCCTTCCTCTTACGAAGGTACCAGTGGGCAACAGCCCCTATAAGCAGGACCAGAGTCAAAAAGCAAGAAGGAACTAGCACACAAAGGACAGGCAGGGGCCCAAGGCCACTGGGCAGAGCGGCCGCCTACTGACGGCTGGGGCTGAGGGCTGGTGCGGGCAGGAACGTGCCCAATGGTGGCGCTGTTCCTCCGAGCTTCAGTTGCCTTAACTAGAAAAAGGGACCGCCACCTCTCTCCTAGATGACAGCTTCAAAATGAAAGCGCCTAAGTGAGGGAGACATCCAGCACAGACACATGTCAACGCCCCCTTTCTCCCTGCACGCCTGCCCACTGCCCCGAGGACCTGGGAGCCGGCGCGGCGGGCAGCAGCAGGGGGACCAGTCCGCGGCGCCTCCCACAGGCTGGTACATCAGAGCCTCACCACACGCTCTCCCGCTGAAGCCTCACAACCACCACGACACAGGCATTTGTTTACCTCTCGCTCTAGATGAGGAATAGGTTCAGGGAAGACTGGCAACTTGTCCCGTGTCACATCTGCCAGAGGAGCCTGCATTTTGAAGCCACGCGTGTCTGAGAGAAGCTGGGCTCCTCCCGCCCCTGCCCTGCGCTGCAGCTGGGGGCTCGGGGGCAGGCACAGCCAGCACTCCCCGTGGCGGCACCTCCACCTGGGGGGCCGGGGCAGGGAACAGGACACCGTCAACTTGGAACAAACTTTTATTTTTTGTGCTGGTCTGGTCAGTCCATGGCCATGGGTCAGTGGTAACTGGAAATAGCTGGAAGGAGGGGAGGTGAGGGGACCAGCAGTCCAGAAGCAGGAAGAATGAAGGACGGTTGGGGATGGGAGGGAGGCAAGGCTGAGGAAGGACCCAGCCAGCTGGGTGTCTGCCCTGGCTAGAAAGAACACATCTCCACCCACCAGTCCACCCTAAAACCAGGGCTTCTGGCCACAGCTCGGGCCAGGCTGGTGTGGGCCCCACACTGCCGTCGCTGGCCTGAGTGACCCTGACCCCACCCCCACCCCAGGCAGTGAATCTTCCAGAGGGGTTAATGCTCTGTGCTGGGCCTAGAACAATCTTTTTCACTACCCTTACCTGCCCTCCCCACACCCCAAATGGGGCTTCCAAAACTGGGGCTCAGGCCCTTCCCTGTTGTGCTCCTGTAGCAGCCATGCTGGGGCAACATGGTGGGGCTGCAGTGGGGAAGAAGGGGTTCCAGTCCTGGCCTGGCTCAGAGGAACACCTCACACCCCCACCAACAGGAGGTGCTGGTGAGCGGGACCCAGAGCAAGCCAATCCCAGTCCAGGTCATTAGTGCCCCAAGGCCCAATAAGATTCATAGAAAGTTCAAGGGCCAGAGCCCCCAGCTCAAAATCAGCACAATGGGAGTTGCCCTGGCCTGGCCAGGCAAACACAGGATTGTCTCCAAGGGGAAAGGAAAACCACCATTTGTCTTTGGGTCAGTGGCAAGGGTCAGAGTTAGGGGCAGGGAGGTTCCTACAACCCAAGTGCCACTCCCCTCCACACATCTAGAGGCTACAGCTTAAGAGATTTTGGCATTACCTGTTTTGGGGCTTAAGGGGGCGGGGAGAAGGAGGAGAGAGAGAAAAGGAGGCTACCACTCTCCATTCTGCTAAAAGCCCCCCAGTCGCAGAAGGAAGGCTCCCTGCTCTGGCAGCAGCACTTACGAAGCCCCTAAGCCCCGAGTCTGGCTCTGTGGAGGGCTCTGGGTGCAGAGGAGTGAGCACAGGGGAGGAGGGTGCTCTTCAGCTCCTGAAAGCCCCTAAAGGTTGTCAGACACACAGACGGATGGACAGATGGGCAGGCAGCCAGCTCCTGGAGGCTGGTGGCCAGCCACAGAGGAAAAAAGGAGAAAGACTGCCAGGGCCCTGACCAGCTACACTTCTGCACCCCCCACACACACGCGCGCGCGCACGCGCACCCACACATACACACACACACACACACACTAACGAGAGAATAAAAAGAATAAAAACTAAGGGCCCAGATGTACAAAAAATGTGAGTAAGGAAGAAGGCAGGGAAGAAGGTGGATGATGGTCAGTCCTCCAGAAGTCTGGCCACCTTCCTCAGCTTATAAATTACAACCCCCCTGGAAAATGGGGGCAGAGGGTGGGGAATGATGAGGCTCCGCTGTGGCCTGGGGGAGGGCGGGTGGTGATCAGAGCTGCTCTGGCCCACGTGGTAGAACAGTGGCCAGAGTACAAGGATCCCTTGGGTGGTGGGGGTGGGCCGGGGAGATTCAGCAGCCGCTGGCAGGAGTCACGCAGGCCCCCTGGGACTTCACTTTGTGACGCTGGCCCCCCCGTCGCCGGCCCCCGCTGCTGGGCTTGGGCTGAAAGGGAGAAAGAAGGAGCTTGAGAAGTAGTGGCCCACTGGGAGCAGGGTAGGACAGCAGAGGGGCAAGGTGGCAGGAAAAGGGGTAGGAGAAAAGCAAGCAGGCAGGACGGTCCCAGCCTAGCCTGAGCAGTCATCTACTACTTGGAGCATGGCACTCCTCCTCTGTCAGATGGAGCCAGCACCCATCCTAGCAAGTGGGGCACACGTGAGATGGTGTGAGACAGAGCCGTTCCGAGAAGCACAAGGAGAGCAGGAACCAACACCTGCCCCCGCGGATAGGTAGAAAGAGAAAGGCTCAATGTGGGAGAGAGAACAGAAAGGACAGGTCCAGAGAGAAGTTTCCTTCTCCCAAGAGGGGTCAGATGGAGAAGACCCTAGAAGGAGCAACATGAGGGGGTGCCAGGACAGAACCAGGGGAAAGAGCTAAAGGGAGATGCTGAGTGAGAACCACACTGATACGGGGTCCAAGGCCACCAGTGCCCACCCAGGAGGACCCACTAAGGCAGCGCCTTTCCAACAACCTTCTGGACTGCCACACACACATCCCACTCCCACAGACCGCACGCACTCTTACTTGGGAGATGGAAACCCTGACATTTTTCTATTGCTTCATTAATACCAAATGCTAATCAGGACCAACTAAATCAGCTTTAAGCAGGCCATAGCTCAAAGATTGGAAAATACTGCCCTAAGAGACAAACAGCACAACACTTAGCACTTATGTGCCAAGAATTGGGGGAGACACCTCCTATGAACTACAGACATGGGAGCTAGACACAGGCTCCTAAAGCTCTCCTGTCACCTCCACCAACTAGAGTAACAGTTACCCTCCCACTCCCACCCTGAGGTGGTCAGGGGACCAGACCAGCCTGAGCAGCACACTCACCTGTGGCTGGAGACTGCTGGACAAAGCTGGCTGCACAGCCCCTGGAGAGCAAGCTTCATCTCCAGTGGGGGGCGCCCCTACTGCTGGCCCTCCAGAGGGGCCTCCTTCTTCTCGTTTGGTCAGGGGACCCTTTTTTGTTGACTGCATTTTAATTTGCTGGGGCTTTGAATTCATCGGGGAGTTGTTGGTGGTCTGGAGGAGCTGCAGGAGCCAAGGAGTTGGGGATGAGGCTGGAGCTGCAGGCAGGGACGTCGGCTCAGCTGCCCAGGCCCTGTGCCCCCACCCCCAGGGACTCTCTGGCCTGGCTGGTCCTGAGTGAGGTGGACGGCAAGGGGGCCACGACAGGGGCAGCGGGCTGGAGAGACGCTGTCATCCCCATTCAGTGTCTCAAGGCTGCCCCTACCCTAGCTGATGTCTCACCTGCCTCAGCCCAGCCCGGCTCCATCCTAGTCCCTGCCCCAGCTGCTCTTCCCATAGACAGCCTGTGCAACTTGGTTATCCCCCACCTGGCCTAGCTCCTAGGCTGGAGTCTGGCCTGCCCAGAACCTTGTATTGAACTTGAGGCTCTCCTTCTTGCTAAGCTGGCTGAAACTCATCACAGCATCAACTGCATCTCTCCTACTGCCCCTATAACAGTCCGGGGCAAGTTTTAACTTCAGGCCTCCCAAAGAGACCAAGTGAGTGTTCAGCATCTGGAAACACTGATGAGTCTGGCTATCGGGGATCTTAAGAGCTACCACCCAGGAGGGACTGATTTAGAGCCTTCCCCTGTGGCCCAAGTTCAATCTCAAGGCAGACGGGAGGACTGCCATACCCTCAAGGGCACTACAGCATGTGCTGGTAGCTTCTGCCACTCTCAGCCAGTCCCAGAGGCAAGTAGCCTTCAAGGACATGATCAGGTCTGCATGGATGGGCCTGAGGAAGGCCGTTCTGGAGGCAAGGCCAGCCTAAGGGTGGCCCCAAGATCTCACACAGGCTGCTTGGAGCAAGAGTCAAATCACTCATCAAGTGCCCCTACCCAAGGCCATGGGTGAAGTCTGCAGAGGGCATGAAGTGGGCTCCAGGACACACAGACGGCTCAAGCCCCAAGGGAACTCAAGCCTAGGACCCCTAGCTGTCCAACATTCACTCTAACCTGACCCACTGCTGTTAAGGGTGCCACCCCAGCCAGGCCGCTGGAGCCTGCGCCTGGCATCGCGGAGGCCGACCAAGGCCCAAACACTCTCCTACCACTGTTTCCTATGTACGACAGCTAGGCCTCAACCCCACCTGCTCTCCTCCATGGTCACCACCAAAGCCCAGGGAGACCTCTCAGGGGGAAGAGAGAAAATGGCACTGAGACCGCACTTCAGCACTGTTCCAGCTCTCCCAGGGCGGGAACTAGAGCCTCTGTCCCTGGCAGTCAGGGGGATTCTGCAGGGCTTCTGCTGTTGTGCTCACAGGCTGAAACTGGAGTGGCCCCCATGCTTCCTGGGGCTGGGAAAGGGGGGCTGCCTGGCCATACCTTGGTGATGGTGCCCACGGCCTTGGTGCGGCCTTCTCGAAACACCAGCCGCTGGTCTATGTGCAGGTACTCAGGGGTCTTGATGAAGCGGAAGTGCACAGTGGCCTTGTCCCCCGTGCGCAGGCAGTCCTTGTCCATGCTCAGAATGGTAGCCGTCTGCCTGATGCTCCCACAGTGCACTGCCAAGAGAGCCAGGGGGTCACCACAAGACTGAGCAGCCCAGTGGCCTCCAGGCAGGAGAGGCAGGAGTGAGAACATGGAATATTGCTGGAGCTGTGGTCAGCTAAAGGCCTCAGGGGGCTGTGTGTGGTAAAGTGAGCTGAAGGTCCACTCTCAGGTCTGATCCTGTCACACACACTCAGACCCCACCTGTCCCTGCACCCACGGTCCTGGTTCCTAAATACAGGGCACTCTGTCTGCATGTGTGCCTTCTCTAGACTGTTGGCTTCTTGACAGCAGAGCCCCTGCCCAGCATTGTGTCCCCAGCACCTTGGCAACACCAGGCGGCACACAGCAGCATTCAAAAGATGTTTGCTGAAGGAGTGAGTATGAGGTTCTTGAGGGCAAGTCTGGGTCTCCAGAGCCCAGCACAGAGCCGGCACTCAGTTAATGTTTGCAGAACTGAATAAACACTGAGGCTTATGGGCAGAATAGAGAGGGTATCACTACATAGCATGGAGACCTGACTCTTGGCTGCAGCTGAAACCTTGGGGTTTGGGTAGCTGGAGCACTTTGTTGGGGTAGCTACAGCAGAGGGCCTCCTAGGCTGGCAGTGCCCTTAGACACCTACCCATGGCCTGGTAGCGTGGGCTAATCGTGGTGGGGTGGTGGAGGACAAGGATCTCGGCCTCAAACTCCCAGGATGCTTGGGGATTCAAGCGTGGGGAAACCATCACCATGCCCTTGCGGATGGACGAGCGCTTGATCTGAAAGAAAGAGGGAATCCCAGACCTCAGAGGCAATAATGCCCAGGGGTTCTTTCCCCCGGTCCCAGAGGACCAGGAGTCCTTTCTGGGAATGGAGACTACCCCAACTCAGCCTTGCCCTCTTACTGTACTAGACCACAGGCCTTCTCGGGTGGACAATACAGGGCCAACTTGAGGGCTATGTGGGAAGCCTAAACACTGCCACTGGGGTCAGGAAAGCCTTTAGTAGGAATTGGCATTTTCAGCTAGGCCTTGAAGGATGGTGGTGAGAGGGCAGAGGTAGGCAAGCTTTCAAGTGGAAGGGACAGGGCGAGCACAATGGGACTGTTGGAGGGAATAAGGAAAGTCCCACTCTGCTAGTTAATTTGGTTGGCAGGGAGGTAGGTGACCCTAGAGCTAGCACTTATCCCAATCCCTGAGGGACAGAAGGCTGACTGGGAGGAGGATTTGGCATGGACCCCAAGGACCCTATATAGAGGGACCAACTGCACAGGAGGGAGGTATCTTTCTGACCTTACCACTGAGCTTGGGGGACCCACCTCAGGCACTAGAAGGAGGAAAAGAGCTTAGGAAGCAGGCAGGCAAGCCTGGGCTCAAGTCCTGGCTCTAGAACTTACTGTGTGTTCCTGGGCAAGTCACTTGGGCTCTCTGAGCCTGAGTTTTCTGACCTATAAAAGTGAGGTCAGTAATCCCTGCCTTACAGAGCAGCCAGGACGACTGGGGATGGCCCAGAGCCCAGCGTAACAAACCCGAGGGGAGTTCTTCGTATTCTCCGCACTCACCTTCTTCAGTGCAAAGGAGGCTGTCTGGCCCCCCCGCACCTCCTTGACAGGCATGCGCTTGCGGTGGATTGATTTGACAGCAATAGACAGGAAGTTACCCAGGGGATCTGGGCCAAGCAGCAGTGTGTCATTCAGCTTGATCAGGCCTCTCAGTGTTGTCCCCGACACCACTGTCCCCACACCCTGCAAAGAAGGCCAGGGTCCAGTAAGTCGATCCCACTTATGTCCTCCCTACCATATACTTGCCCTGATGCCCCTGTAGAAAGGGCCCACCCAGCCTCCCATCCTGTTCAGTCCACCAGAAGCCACTCACTGGGACAGAGTAGGTGTCGTCAATCTGAAACTCAGCAGGCTCTTCCTCCCGGTAGCTGGTGCGGGGGGAGAGGAGGTTGAGGAACATCTTCAGCAGATCTAGGTTCTCACCTGTAACGTTGGAGATCTGGAATATCGGGCACATCCTAAGTGGAGAGTGAAGAAAGACAAAGGAGCTCAGGTGGCCAGCTCCCGGGTGACAGAGTAGGAACAGGAGAGCTTCTGGAACATGTGCTGCTGCTAAGGGCCCCACTGCCCCCTCACCAGCCTGCTCCAGCCTTCTAACTGCCTACCCCCTGCCCCAGCTTTCTAAGTGCTGGCCACACCTGCTCCAAGGCCTTCTTCTTTCATTCAGTTTTATCTCTGAAATCTGTCCCCTTGTCTCTGTCCCTCTACCATTGCCGTATTTTGGGCTCGTATGACTGCCTCTTCTTCCTAAAGCACACACATTCTTGCCTAAAATTCTTGCCTGCCTTTCCACTGCAGAGAAGACAGACAGAATTCCCTCTTCCCAACATCTCTGCAGGTTTATTTCTCTCAAATTCCTGTCTGCCAGCCAGACCACAGAACCTTCTCTTCTCCCAAAAGCTATTACTTTTTTTGCTCCCCATGTATTTCTTCATTCTGATCCTGCTGCCTGGACTCCTACCCTCTCACCCAACTAACAAATCCTCTCCTCCTTCAGGGCCCATCTCCAACGCAGATTTTTCCAGGAAACCCTTCTCACATGGGCACTCCTGACTCCTCCCAGATCTAGGGAGCACTTTTTGCATCTCTGTTACACGTGATTACACCTGATTTTCCGTCAGTCATCACAACAGCCTCTATGTCTCCTATCCAGGGTTAATCATACTCTTCAAGATCAGGAATTATATATTCCCCATTGCTCCCAGAGTAGCACCTACACAGAACAGGCACGAGGAATGAATGGAAAAGGGGCCGGCTGAAATGTACCCCCTCTGCTGGCCGCCTGATGGTACTGAAGGCAGCACTGGGACACAGCCACCGGCCAAAACGCCAGCCTGCTCTGGGTGCTGTATACTGACCAAGCCAGGAGGCAGATGGCTCCTAAGCAGCCCCAAGACTCTGGGAAAAGGGGCAAACTTAACAAAGTTCACTATTATCAAGAGAGTGTCTCTGACCAAGGAGGTGACCACCTTGAGGACAAGGATTATACCTGAGTCAACTCTGAATCCTCAATGCCTAGATGAGGAGCCTGGTACAGAACATCCAACAAATATTTATGGAATCAAAGGAAACATTAATGAATAAAAGCCAAATGCTAATCTGTGATTAGAGAGTTTTTGAGAGACAACAGTATAAAAACTTACTAAGTAACAGTTATAAAAAGGGCTGTGTCTGTATCACCCAGCATCCAGACACAGTGCCAAGTGCTTTACATACATCATTTCTAACACTTATGAGGCCACCATGGGTAGGGAATATTATTCCCATTTCACAAGTAAAGACACTGAAGCCTCAGCTGGGATTCCAACCTCAGCAAGGCCAGCACCTCAGAATCTGGATTGCCTGATATCGCTCCCAGGCAACACTGCCGGCCTGGGAGAGCTTGTACTGAGACCAGAATCTTCTATTCCATCCAATCTCTGTGCCAGCCCAGCAGTGAGTGCTCCCTACCCCATTACCTCTCAGAGCTGAAGTTGGAGGCCGTAACGATCACATCATCCTTGCTCTGTACCAACACAGGGATCTTCCGGCAGCCTGGGGACTTCAGCAAGCGCTGTAACAGCTTCAGGGTTTCTTAAAGGTTGAAATGGAACACAATTAGGGGGACACAGCTTTCTCTTTGGCCAGGCTTCCAGGGCAAGACTGGTCCACTCCTTACTGAGAGAAGCAGGAGACAGATGGACCAGTGTTAAATGCCATGCCTGGAGAAGCAAAAGGAGGATCAAAACTTGGGGTGGGTATGTGCTTGCTAGAGTAGAAGGAAGACATATAAGACCTGTCTGGTAAGGTTACGAGTCTGAAACCTGTTGAATTTCTCCAGAGTCTCTAAAAGACCCACATCCTATAAGTAAGTGACTCGGGGGGGGGGGGGTCTCATGGGAAAGGCAATGTTCTCAGAATGCTTTGCTTCCTGGATAAAAATTCATCTGACAAAGGATCTATGACATTTACACCTCTGCAGAAGCCCTTATGAGGCATTCCAAAAGAACACCTCTTCACTTCTCTTCTACCATCTGCAGCAATGAGGGAGAAATACGAGGCTATTCTGAAACCTTTGGTGGTAGAAGGCAATCAGACCCTCTGCCCAAATGCCTCCATATGTATCCTGTTCAGATGGTAAAACCCAACCCCCTGGCCCCGGGGCCATCTGAAAAGAGGTACCAGATTAGGAATCTCAAGGATCCTATATTTGGAACCAGAAGGAACAAAGAGTAAGGGATAATTCTAGGGTGTGCTTAGACCAAGAGCTAAATAAAGGAGGAAGCAGAAGATTCAGGCTTGATGGAAATTCAGACCAAGGTCTGAGCACAAGACAAAAAAGCAGAAGATTCTGGGCTGAAGCCGTGGCAGCACCACTAAGGAGCCACAGTGGGTGACAGCCCCTGCTACTAGACACAGGCTTCACTTACCTTGCAGGATGTTGGCAGGACACATGTCAATCTTGGTGACCACCACAAAGACAGGCACATTGAGTGCCAATGCCAAGCCCAGATGTTCCTTAGTCATCCCCACGATGCCAGCATTGCTGCCCACCTGCCCCAACACAGAAAGAAAGGTCAGGACAGGGAGACAGAAGTTGTTGCTGGGTGGGCACAGGGGCTCAAAGAAGGCTGGGTTAAGAGAGAGCTCTCCTCTGAGGCCCCCATCAGAACAGGACACGTGGGGCAGAAGTCTTAGACCAGAAACAAAAGAGCTGTAGATGAAAGCTGGGCTGGGCACAGATGGCTTTAACCTCTGATTTAATGATGTGGGCTGTCAAAATCTGAAGAGACTTGGAAACAATAAAAAAAGACAAACCCAGACAGTCCGGGGAAACAACTGTCTAGTGTCGTCAAGGTATATTCAGTCTAACATCACTGGTCCCCAGTTTCCCCATCTGTAAAATGGAGAGATAGTAACATCCCCTTTAGAGGGTCTCTTGAGGTTTAAGTGTCATAAAATATGTCAGAGATCACACAACTAGCATGAATTAGGTGTTCAAGGAATGGCAGCTCTTATTACTGTTACTATTCCTTCCCGTAACAATAAAGGTTTTAAATATCACCATAAAGGTTGGCTAAATGAAGGCACGTGTCCAAGTGTGCCATACAAAATGTACCAAATGTTCTATAGACAAGAAAGAGGAAACTCTTATCTACTGACATGGGATAATCCCTAATGTATGTTTTTAAGAGAGGAAAAAAAGCAAGGTGTATACTGCATGCTACCATTAAAAGGGTGTAGAATGGATCATTGTTTGAAAAAAGCAGCTGTAAGAGCTGGAAGACATCTGGGGAACATCTGAGATCACATAAACACAGCCGAGATATTAGGGAACTCTTGTTCATCTTCCTGGCTGCTCTAATAGCAGGAGACCGTTCTCACTTTTAGGAGCTGTGTGCTGAAGGATTTGGGTGTCAAGAGTCACAATGCCTATAATCTACTTTCAAATGATTCAGCCAAGACAACAACAAAAAATACACATACTCATCCACGACATATAAATATGAACAGAGCAAACGTTAATGATTGTTGAATCTGAGTGGTGGGTCTATGGGATTCACTGTATTATTCTTTCAACTTTTCTGACTGTTTTGAAACTGGAGGGAGAGAATATATCCCCATTTGCTGGTATGATTACAAAATCTCTCTCAGAATAACTAAGAAACTGGAAATACTGGTTGCTCCTGAGAGGAAACTGGACAGAGGAGGAAGAAGACTTTTCACTATAAGCCCTTTGGTTATCTTTTTGTTTTTGTACCACATGAATGCATTACTTACAAAAACAAAATTAAAGTTGCCACGACACATTTATATAGTGTTTAATGCATTCCAGAAGGTTTTCAAACGATGTTCTCATTTGATCCCAGGTCACAGGTGAGCTGCCATCCCCCCAACACCGATGTCCCCTGCATATTCCCTTCTGCCCACACCAAGATACCTCCTCTTTCTGCCTTCTGATTCTTCCCATTTCTTCCAACCACCTTTCCTATCCATCCCAGACTTGCTTTTGTTCTTCCCAACTGGGATAAGAGAATGCTCTATCACTCTGTTGTCTATATATTTTAAAGTTTTTTTTCCTGGAAATTGTCATGGGGCAATAATGATTTCAGTGTTTTCTATAGAAAAATTTGAATATTTAATAAAATATTAAAATAATAATATTTATAATACCTAAAACTCAGATAATATATGACATTTCATCTAGGGTGAAGGTATTTCCTTTAATTGGCCTTGTTCGCTATAGCTTAGTTGAAAAAAATGCTCATTTTCAACTGGTTTCTATACCTTTCTTAATATAAACCCAACAACTCCCCCCGATACGCCCTATGGCTCCTCCTCTGAAATCCCTTCTTGTAGAACAGCTTTGCTTAGCCCAGTTGAGTTGGTGATGGCCCCTGGAAATGTTCAAGGATATGGGAAATGAAATCATGCTGAGATCCCAAGAACCTTGGGCAGAGAGCCGACAAGAGTGTTCACACATATGCTCTGCCTCTCTACTCTCCAGTTTGGGGAGAATTTGCCTGAGAACCTGTGTTTGTGGGGCAACTTGATCAATTACGCTCTCAACAGATGCCTGTGTTTACTACACTTATTAATACAAGCAGCTGGAGGAACTGGGAAATGGGGAAGGGCTCAGAGAAGGACTTGCCAAAGGAAAACTTGCTCACTTGTGCTCTCTATGAAAGCTGTGAAGCTGTGTGTGAGGCTGTGGATCCCACAGACTCCCATTCTCTGTCCGGAGAAGATCAGTGGGACCCAAATGGAAGCTTTGCAACATGATCCAACACAGAAGCCTCTGCTCCCTTCCCTTCTCAGGTGATCTACAGGATTAGCTGCTGAAAAGTCTCCTCTCACTAGACTCAACTGCTGTATCTTCAGGTCCAGCATGGTGCCAGGCACACAGCAGCCGCTCCACAAGTACCTTGGACTGGCTGACACTCCTCCCAGGCTTTGAGAGAGGCCACCTCCCAGGCCCCTCTTGATTGCTATCTGTGCTCTCCACCATTTCTTTCCAGGCCTCCCCTTCTCCGGGGGTGCCACCTGGTGCCACCTCTGCAGAGTAGCCTAACCCCAGGAGAAACATTTCTGGAGGTAGTAAGTAAGCCCCAGGAGAAACCCTCCTCTGTGCCTCTCTGCAAAATAAAAGAGGTCCACAAATGGTACCAGGGAGAGAGATCAAGGTACAGCCCTCGAGAAGGCCATAGCGCTCAGAGGAGTAGGTATCCCTGTAAAATGTGTCATCCTTACCCTCCTAAACCCTCAGAGCCCCAAACCAACAGGCCTCTGCCACAGAACAATTTCTAACACTTGCACATAAGCAACCCCCACCCCCAAACAGCCCAGCTGAAGCCTCCCCTCCTGAGGACTGCCTCACACTTACCATGAGCATGCAGAAGTCAGGCAAATGACCTGTCATGCCAAAGACAGTGGTCTTCAGGTATTTTTCATGGCCAGCCAAGTCAATGAAGGTAATCACCTTAGTGGATTTCTCACAAATCTTTGTCCATTCCAGGCTGCCACCATGGCTGTCCGGCTTGTTCACCACATTGCCTTCACTGTCAAAGCCCAGAATGTCGTTGCCCACGCTGCTGGTGCGACCAGATTCAATCTCGTGTTTGTGGCGGAAGAGCTTCTGACGGGCAAAGCCTCGGCCATTGTCCAGCTCCCCATGTGTCAGGACCCCCAGGAGCGTGCTTTTGCCAGCATCCACGTTGCCTACTACTGCTACCCTGCGTGTACGTGAACCCAAACATCCTTGTGAGAGACAGCAGGGAAGCAAAGTGAACCTGAGTAACTGGAACTGTAAGGACAGACTTGCCCCTGAGCCTCTCCAGCTCATCGCTCCTCCCATTCATGGCTGAGCCCATTGGGAATGACCCTGGAGGTACACCCAAGAATAGAAAGAATTATTCAGGAGGAACTAGGCTCCTGTCATGATGGCTTTCTCTCTTAACTTCCATAAGCCTCCTCAAAGCTGCCAGATAGGAGCCCAAAAACCGAGAGAGGCACAAAATGCTCTCCTCCAAGACCCTGGTTTTTAGCCTCACAGGCTGATAGGTAAGAAAACACAGCCCACACAATGGCCACAAATGTATGGCTAGCCTCCCACTCTTACCAAATGGAAATATTTAGGAATAGGGAAGTACAGAAATACAAAATGGAGCTATCATATCTCTGGACACTCTTTCCATGCCTCAGAAGGGGAAGGAGTGAAGCTGACATGCCAGGTGCCAAAGGCTCAATCACCATTCTCTGCGAAGCCCTAGACCACAAGGTCATGCTGCAGAGAACCCCTGAACTGTTCTGAGGCCTCCTCACCTGACCTCCAGGAAGTCATTGTCTCCTACTCGTTTCCGGACCAGGTAATCACGCACACGGCCCCCAGCTTCTTGACGTTCCCGCAGGAGGATGACATCAGCCTCTATCTGTTCCGCCATGCTCTTCACTGTAGCGTAGGAGGCCTCCATATCAGCTTCACTCAGCCCATACTCAGTCCCATCTGGTGACAAGAGCCCAGACATCAGCCTGCCAACAAGCCAGCCGGTCAACCACCCCTACCAAAGGCCCCACCCTAGGCACTGGAGAAGAACACGGCTCTCTCTACCTGACACTTTTCAAAAACTTGAGCACACACAGAGTTAATAAATAACAGTGCCACGGGCTTCCCCTTTAAGCAGGGTATTCATTAATTCATTCAACAGTAATCACTAAGACTCTCCAAGGTTTTATGCCAAGCCGCATGCTGGGTACTGGGAATACAGGTGCCCTTGGTGAGCTCACAGCCCAGCGGGAGAGACAGAAAATTAATTAATTGTAATACAGCTTGAGTGCTTTACTATATTACTGTACAAAAAGAATGTAAAGCGTGAGCAACTGGCATTGCCTGGGGAAGCTGAGGACAGCTTTGCAGGGTATTGACTCCAAGCTGGGTCTCCAAGTGTGGAAAATGGACCTACAGAGAAAGGAGTAAAAACATCCTAGGCAGAGGAACAAAGCATGGAGCATGGCAGATCATGGCACATTCAGGGACCAGTAAGCAGTTCGGTATGTTGGGGAGCAGGATGTCAAGTGGTGAGAGACCACACAAGAGGTGGGAGCTGTTAAGCAGAGACGTCAGAGAGCAGCAAAACACAATTATGTACCAGGCGGTGGGAAGCCTTGGGGGTTTAGGCAGGGGAATAACATGATCAGATCACTGTAGGTTAGAAAGATATCTTGAGCAGCAATATAAAGTGTGCACTGGCAAGCGAGAGACCAGAAAGGGGGAGCCCAGTTAGAAAATAATTCTAATAATCCAGGCAAGAGATAATGAGGACAGGAGTCAAAGGAAAATGGGGAGAGAATTTCAGAATGATTTCAGGGATAGATTTTTTTAACTGAGGTAGCTCAGGTGAAATATCCAGCAAGTGGCTGAAAAAAATGAGTCTGAGCTCAGGATGAGGAAGGGTGTCCCAAGGAAAGACAACGGACCAGTCAACCAATCACTTGAGTGCCTAATGTAAGGCAATCCCTGCAAGGTGCCTTCCACATGATGTCATTCAATGCCCACAACAGTTCCCTCAGCTTTTCCTCCAGCCTCTGGGTCTCACAGAACATCTCTGCTCCTTCCCTAGGCTGATCCCCCAGCATGCGCCCAACCTTTCTTCTCTTTTACTCCCTCCCAAAGACCTTGCAGTACCTTTTCTCACCTTCTCTTCCCTCCTTCCATGCTTCCCCTTACAAACGAGCTCATTCTTAAACCACAAAAAGGAAACCCACCCCCTCTTCCTTTGCCCCTGCTTACTTACTAAGCTACCATCTCCCCTGTTCCTCCTTTCACCACCAAGCATCTCAAAAAAGTGATTGCACCTGCTGACTATATTTCTGGTGACTGCAGAAGAAACTAATTTTCAAGGCATTAATGGACTTTAACCACTCATCTAATGCCCTTTTCTTGACCCCTACAGCATTTGACACTGCTGGCTATCCTACCTTTGCTTCTTGAAGTACCTCCCCCTCCCACTCTGCTTGCCTATTGCCTGAACTCTCCTGATTCATTTCTCTACCCTCTGGTTCCTTCTTCTCTGTTTCCTCTGCTGGCTCTTCCTGCTCCTGTCCCCTATATGCCAGTCTTTTCCAGTAATCAGTCAGTGGCCCTTTTCTCTAGCCTCTAAACATTTCCCTTGGCCATCTCATTCTATGGTTCAAACTGTAGTTTTGTAAATTACAGAAACATTCATTTCTAGCACTGTCCTCTTTGCAGAGCTCCAGACTGAATTTCCAATTGCCTGTTTGATAACTCTTAGAAGCATGGCATCTAACCTCAACCACTCCACCCCCCTTTTAAACAACAGCACAAAAACTAACACCACTAACAAAGCATTTTAGACCTCCCTGCAATCCTAAGGAGTAAGCATTATTGTTCCCATTTAGCAGTGGGATAAAAAGAACCCAGAAGAGGTCTCAGAGTTGGTAAAGAGCCAAGGGGCTGTGTGAGCTTGGGTCTTCTGATTCCAAACCTAGAGCCTTTTCCTCTGGCAAGGGTTCCTCTTTGTGCCCAACTAGTTCCTCCCCTGCCTTCCTTACTTCTGATGACACCACCACCCTCCCCTCCCAGTCACCCAAGCTCAACACTCATCCCTCTAGTCCTGCTGATTCTAGCTTTAGACCTCGCCCTTCTGTTCTTGTCCCTGCTCTCTTGTTGCCAATCCAGTGAAACCAGCCTGACTCAGGCCCTGTTCTACCTGAATCACTGCAAGACCCCTAGCTGGTCTTAGCATACCCGGGCTCTATTCCCTGCAGCCCATCCTACATACACACAAGCTTAAGCTCCTAATCCAGGCACAGCTCTGACGTTTTCACTTCTAACTCAAAGCCTTGGAATGGCTCCCCCAACCCAACAGCATCCAGTTCCAATTCCTTAAAGGCCTCCCCCATTTATCCCATAGCCCCTCCTCAGTTTTGTCCCAATGCAAGTGGCCCAGTTGCCATCCCCCATGTTCCCTGCACTTCTTCAGCTCTATACCTTTGCTTATGTATTTCCTATCCTAGAAAGCCCATCAGTGCACCACATACTACCCCTTGTGGAACAGTGTTTTGGATGCATGTATTCCCCCACTATACATAGGCATCTTGAGGATAGGGTATATCTCAAACATTCCCTGGATGCCCCATGAGGGTGCTTTTCCTCCATCAAGTCCTCTAATGTTTGCAAAATGCAAAACAAATGAACAAAGTGGGAGCAGCTGGGCTGAGGAATACATGGCCAACTGAGCTCTGGAATTCTTCTAGATTAGAGAAGGGCTTGTTGAAAGTGTTCCTAAGGGGCGCCTGGGTGGCTCAGTTGTTAAGTGTCTGCCTTCGCCTCAGGTCATGGTCGAGCCGTACATTGGGCTCCCTGCTCCGTGGGAAGCCTGCTTCTCCCTCTCCCACTCCCCCTGCTTGTGTTCCTGCTCTCGCTGTGTCTCTGCCAAATAAATAAATAAAATCTTAAATAAAAAAAAAAGAGTGTTCCTAAGAGGAAGTCTGCTAATCTTGCCATTCTTTCCAGATCCCCAAATTCTATCCAACTTCCCAGTTTCTGGTACAACAAAATGCTTTCAGGTCCTGTTCCGTGCCAGGGGGCAATCATGAGTGTTACCTTGTCTATCTAGAGCTCCCAGAAAATGCTCCCAGTCACATTACCCTTCTCCAGCATGCACTGCATTCCTCACTCTGTAGGAGTGGAGACAAAGGTCAAGGAGAAAAGCTGCAGAGGTCCAATTACCCAGGGCCACATATTCAGCCACGTCCAAACCTAATCAGATTTCTGTCCTGCCATCTGACTTACCTTTTCTGTACGTACTCTCCTGCTCAACATGCTTTCAGGATAAAAGTCTTAACTCTTTGATATGGTATTCAAAAACCATCAAGATCTGGGCCCTGCGACCTGTCCAGCCTACTCTCCTGACACTCCAAACCTCACATTCTATACTCCCACTTTACAGAATCACTTTTGGGGGCACTTGGGTGGCTCAGTCGGTTAAGTGTCCAACTCCTGATTTCGGCTCAGGTCATGATCTCAGGGTCGTGAGATCGAACCCTGCATTGGGCTCTGCACTCAGCAAAGGGAGTCTGCTTGAGATTCTCTCTCCCTCTCCCTCTGCCTCTCCCCCAACCCACTCCCATGCAAGCACACACTCTAAGATAAATTTTTAACAGAATCACTTTTGGTCCACCAAATATTCCACAATCACCAATATCTCTGTGCCTTTGTGCATGTGGCTTTCTCTGCTCACTCACTACTGCCTCTATTTACCTGGAAAACTCCTATTCACCCTTGAGTATCAATTCAAGGGGCACCTCCTCTTTTGAAGCCCTTCCAGACTCCCCCACAAAGACCTAACACTCCTCCTATGTTCCCTGAACTTTTAATACAGTAGCTGGCTCTTGTAAGCCATGACTTAATATGAAAAATGAACAAAGTGGTTCTTGAAAGAAATCTCATGGTAAATCAACTATAACCTGGAATCTTTAAAAAATTATTACTGCAGGGCGCCTGGGTGGCTCAGTCGTTAAGCATCTGCCTTCGGCTCAGGTCATGATCCCAGGGTCCTGGGATCGAGCCCTGCATCGGGCTCCTGCTTAGCGGGAGGCCTGCTTCTCCCTCTCCCACCCCCCCTGCTTGTGTTCTCTCTCTTGCTGTCTCTCTCTGTCAAAAAAAAAAAAAAATCTTAAAAAATTATTACTGCAATTACTAAGTAACATTTATATAATGCTTACTGTATGTCAAGTATTAATCTTCACCATGACACCATGGGATAGATTCTATTATTAACCCCATTTTCAGACAAGGAAAAGAGCCAACAGGCAAATGCAGACCTACCAGGCTCCAGACCCTGAACTATCAGGCCACACTGCCTCTTTTTAAAATTAGGAATGTATACTTAAAGAGCACATTACTCTGCTTAGAATTTTTTAACACCTAACTTACCCATACAAAATCTCTCTGAGGTAGGGTGGGTAAGTATGTCATTATCCCCATTTTACAGATGAAGGAAGAGACAAACAGAGGTGAAGCACCAAGCACAGGAATTCAGTAATGAAGCTGATCCCTGGGGGCCTTGCACCTGGTTTAGTCCTCTGATGTTCAACTTGTTTAACTAGTTATGATCTCTTTCTCCCTCTAAAGAATTCCAGCAGGAAGGAGTCACTGTGAATGTAATAGCATCCAATTGGTAGATGCAAAGATAATGCCTGGGTGTACAGGAGATGTGATAATGAATATCTGACATTTTCTTATGCTTTGCCATTGGACGGTTAATTAGTTGTGAGTTGCCAAGGCATGGTAAAATTCACTAAGAGTCCACATTAAAGAATAAGTGGGAAAGGGTGGGGTCTTAAGAATTTAGATCATCAAAGAACAGTCCCAACACTTGTCAAAATTGATCTAGATGTGGTTTCTTCAATTCTACAAGCATGAAGTGGCCTTGGAGTGGTTCATCCTATTACCAGCGGGCCAGATGTGCACCTGAACAAAAGCTTTCAAAAGGCTACCAACAATGCCCTAGCCGCCAAACAGAATGGCTTTTTCTGAACCTGACTCTCCTTGCTGTCTCTAGCACTTGACAATGCTGACCAATTTCCTCCCTTTTTTGACAGGCAACCTCTCAGTTTGCCTATCTCTCTGACCATGCTTTCTTTAAAGTGATAAGACCCAAACAGGAAGGTGGCAGCAAGGATGGAATGAAAGGGATAGATAGGAGAGACATTTCAAAGGAAGGCATAGCAGTATTTGGAGATCAAACCCTTCTTCCATGTGTCAATCTTGCAGCATTTCCAAATATTATTTTCTACTGAAGTTATCTATGTATATGCCATCTTTCTGGGACAGAGACCAGATTATAAGTATCCAAAAATACTTTGCAACAGTATCAAGCCCTTGGAAGATACTTAATAGATACCTGTCAAATAGTTAAAGAATGATTTTGAGATTTTTCTCCATCTTAGACTAAAAGGAATTATTACCTGCCTTCACAAAGCCTACATTCAGCAAAGAACTGTTCCTTTACTGATGCATCAAGGCCCACCAAGGCTTCCTGCATCCTGCAAAGATGACAGAGACAAGTTCTGGTACTAAATTCATAATTGTTAACAAGCCCAGCTGCCATTTCAGCAAAGATAATGCCGTAATGAAGTAAGGGTAAGTAGGCCTTGTATCGAGGTTATAAACTAGGAACAACCAAAAAAAAACCCCAAACCCAAAAAAACAAAAGCCCAAGATACAATCTGCAATGGGGACTGCCTTCCTCTAAAACAGTGGACCCCATTACAATGGAATAAGTAGGCTGGAGAACATTAATCCGCCCCTTCCAGAATGGTAACAAGGCTACATATCTGACAGGATCTCACAGAGACGAAAAGAGGACTTCTGTTATCACAACTATCCACACTGAATGGTCACTGTGGTCTGAGGCAAGGTAGCCTTGCTGAAGAGAGGAATTCTGGGTGTCCCTTTCTTGCGGACGTCAAGAAGAATCACAAAGGTTCTCTGTGAAGCAGGCAATAAGTAGCAATGGAATCTGTAAACCAGGCCTGGAGAGGGAAGACCTAGAGCTTCGCAAGGGAGGCTTCTTTGTATACCTAACTGTGATTTGCTCTATTACCTGAGATAAGTTTTCTTGCTTTGTGCTTTCCCTTTATACAAATTGAGAGTACTGGAGGTAGAAAAGAAACATCTGTAAAACCGCCTGGAAAGTGAATCTTTGAAGTCAAGCATATTATGACCACTAACGTGGGAATTAGCATTATCATTTTGTACTTTAATGTCCTCCCAAACAATTCTGCAGATACTAAAGAATCACTGCAACTGAGACACACGAACAGGAAGTCAATAAAAGAGGGAAAATGTGCTCTAAATAATTTTTTAAAAATAAAGCGAAAGGAAAACTATGCTCACCTGATCCCTGCCCAATGACATATATGGTCTCTCCGCATCCCTCGTCCATCCTCTCCCACATCTGCCGAAGTAGGCTGTCATACTGCTCTGATGTAGGGCTCACTAGAACCAGCTAGAAGAGAAACCAACAGCCTTAAGACCACACTTACTAAAGAGCACCACAGCCAAAGCAGATCAATAGCCTGACCAAAGACCCTGACTGAACCCCCACAGCACCCTGATCTAAAATAGCTACGCAGCCCCCTCATGCCCTCTCTGCCTCTCCTGAAATAGACTTTGAGCCTAAGCCTTCTATGAGTTAAGTTACATGATATACTAAAATGAGTACGTCTGAACCACAACCCACAGAAAAGAGGGTGAGAGGAGCCGGCTTCCTGCTGCTTAACAGGAGGGGCAGGACCCACAATAACTGAGAATCTGGACTGTGGACAGAAACTAATGAGCAGTGCTTTATTACCTACATGTCAAAGTCTTCCACCTTGCGGCTTGCAGTTCACAGGACAGAGATCTCATACACTGCCATGCCCTCCCCCAAGGCCAAAGGTTCTTACAGTAACAAAAGAATTCTGTTCCACCTTGCCTTGGCTAACTTGATTATTTAGGAATCAACAGTTAAAAGTGCTGCAAGACTCATCTTCACCAACAAAACACCATTACCACTAAGATGGGTATTAGCACCATCATTTTGCAAATTTCTGCCAATAACATTAAAATATGAACTATTTATGTGAGGAGGCCAATTCCATCTTCTGACTACTAGTGTGTGACCTTGGACAAAGAACTTAACCTCTCTGAGTCTCAGTTTTTCAATCTACAAATAGAGATAATACTACCTGCATCCTAAACACACTGTACAGACCAAGTAAAATAACATGCAAAGCATCTGGTCCACACCTCAGTAAGTGGTAATTAGTTTCCTTCACCCAATCATTCCTAGAAAAACTTTCTTGGATGAAACTAGCTGCTACAGTCCTCTAGTTGTTTCTCCCTTTGAGAGCTCTCAGAACTTTCCGTCTCCACAGCTAATTGTAGCAAGTGTATAAACTTATAGCTTCTAGGCTTCTCCTCAGGAATCAATCTATTCAACACATCACTTCTCCCCCTCCACATTCTCAGTTTTTCTTTTCAGTATCATCAAAATTTATATACATATAGCTTCTCAACTTTAAAACAGTGAGGAGGACTTCCCTAGCTCTGTGATGAAGTAACACTTCCCTATCCCAGAACGCTAAATAAGTTGGTCAGGAAATGAAGGTACTACTCTCTTTGCAACTTTGCCTTGCAATTTCCCACTGTGTTTTCAGGATTCTTCAGCACCTTGACCATGAATTGACATCCAACTCATCTGCTTTTGAATCAAGTGCATTTCTTACAATTTTCTGAGTTGACTCATTAGGGCTTATACTTGTAACCTGGGTGCTATCTGGGTCTTTTGCATCATGTCACATCACCTCACACACTTCCTCTGATCATCCCCCCCTCTGGGCTTGGCCATTCTCATTGTGGCAGTAGAGACATCAGACAGGAAAATTGTAATAAGGCAGATAGCTGGTTTCTTAGTAGGCAACTGCGACTAGAGGGAGAGAGAAGAGTTGAAATTTGGCTGCCTAGGTTGCAAGGGAACTTCTCTCCAGTTTGGGTCAAGTTTCATGCAGTTTTGCCACCACAGACCTTGAAAACTCGCAAATGTTTTCAATGCTCTATAAACGTCTTTTTATTGTAACTATCCAACAACAGGTAGGAGGTGGCGTTGGTGTTCTCCCTCGGCTGCTATTGAATCTGCACAGGGAATTACCAGTTATTTGGTTCACTTTAAACATTTACTCAGTAGTATGTATCAGGCACTGCACTAGGTGTCGGACAGAAAACAAAATTCAATCCAGTACATTTCAAAATCTAACTGGCTTTATTCTAAATTCATGAATCAGGCAGCACCCTACCGAGCAAGGAGAAAGCAGTTCCAAGTAGCTGTACCAAAACCAAAGATTTTAAGGCAGAAAGGGGGTGAGACAAGGTTATTAGGGAAAGAAAAGAAAGGGTCATTTCAGGCACGGTTATCTTCCCTTTAGGAAAGGCAGGGGGTTTTATCAGGCAGATTACCTCGCTAGTGCTGACCAGGAAATTTCACTCCTGGGAGAGGGTGAAGCTGCAACTAAGTACCTGTCTGTAGTCCAGGGGCCAAATGACCCCATCTTGGGCCTGTTGTTTTTTGTTTTTGTTTTCTTAAATGTCATATACATTTCTCATTTTTACAACACATCTGTACTTTAAAAAAGATGGAGCTGGAAAACCGAGAGGTTAAGAAACTTTCCCAAGGTCACAGAGCCTTTTTAAGTGGCAGGGCAGGAAAGGGAACCCAGCCCAGTCTGACTCCCAAGTTGGCGTTCTTTCCTTTAGCGATGTTTTAAGCACCTTCAAAACACCAGTCACATCCTATACTTACTTTTTCATCCTCACAATGCCAAGCAGAAGCTGAGCCCTTAATTCCTGCCTACCTTCTCACAAGCTCAGAAGCCCCGATTTAAAAGGTCCTTCATTATTCCATTCATACAAGATGAGGTTCCACTCCCAGTATGGCGAGTTTATGGGTCCTGCCCATCTTTCAGTTTTGAATTCCTCAGACAACCGTCTCCGCGACTGAGCAACTACTTTCCGTCTCCTATTCCGAGACCAGGAAGAGCCCCGGCGGCCTTCCTGCTCCCCGCGGGGCTGCCTGATCCTCCCGCGCCTCCGCTCCCTCTGCCTCAGCCACCTCCGACTCTCCGCGGCGTGCCCAGTGCAGGGAGAGGACCACCCCCTCAGTCTCGGGGAAGTCGGCATTGCTCGGGGACGGCGACCGCGCGGGGCGCTCCGGGCGTCGGGCGCCCCTGTTCCACGTGGCGGAGCCGAGGGGTTGTGATCTCGGCGGGAGCCGGTCGGTGGGAGGCCGGGTAGGCGCCGCCGGGAGAGGACGGCGGTGCGCGGCCCTCAGGGGCCGCCCGTCGCCCGGGAGCCCCAGACGCTTCCCGCACCGGGAGGTGGGCGGACTCGGCGCGGCCCCTCCCGC